ATGAATAGGAATAAAGGGCTAAATTGGAAAGGCAATGTATTGGCGATAAATAATTCAGCCAGCTACATTATACAGAGAGGATTCCCCTTTTTATGACTCACACAGATATCCATCATCTGTTTAACAGAAAAGCCTAAGCCACATGGTTTGGCCAACCCCAGCCACTGAAAACCCACATAATTGGCTTAAAAAGAATAAGACACTGGGGCTTTGGGGAGGGGGCAGGGGTTGTCATCTGGTTTCTGAGCCTTAAGATGCTCTGAGGTCATGCGCACAAGCCTCTCCTACCAGGAGGAACCTACTTTCAGAAATCCAGCAGGGATTCCCCCTGCAACCCCCTGGCTCCAGAAGCTGGGCCTTCTAGGAAGATTACTTATACCGCGAGACTGGCAAGAAAAATCACAAGACTTGGCAACGCTGAAACGGAAAAGGATAAATCCTTTGCTCTGGACTGTAAAATGGCCTTCACTTCCAATTTTTTCAAAGTCTCTGGGTATTAGGGAGGGGAGAGGGAGAAAGAAATGAAGGCCCAGCCCTTGACCGATAATGCTGCCTTTGTCAGGTATCAGCTAACGATTTGCAGAGGAAGTCTGCAGAGATCCTGAAGAAACCCAGGACAGTCTCTTCCAGTAAGTACACTTGTGGTCCGAAAAGTGGGTGTGTAAAAATATCACTTTTTAACCTAACAAATTGGTTTCTTTTGTTCATGTCAGGCCAAAGCTGCGTATTCTAGTGACGCAAGCAAGCTTTAACTCTTCCTACCCTATTATCCCTGCAACACGGAAGAGGGAACTGAATACTGCTCTGGCTCATGCATCATCTACAAAATGATTTTATTTCAACAGTCAGTCAATCTTTTTCACCAGCACGTAGGTCTAAACCTGGCAGGAAGACAAAACCTGAGAGTGACTTTACATCCCAAGGTTGGGTTTGCAAAGCCAGCCGCTAGAATGTAATTTTTTAGTTGTAAATTGAGACAATGTAATATGGACATTACCAAGAGAGAACAAATGGGGAAACCTCATATGTCTTTTAAAAAAAGAGAAACACTTTCCAGACAAGAATCACCCTTAAAATATGGATCGCTCACCAAAACACACAAGCTCACACCAAGAAGTTCTTCCTTAAACAAGATGCGAAAACCGTTGCCTCGAATACACAAATGAGACACCAACACATCATACCTCTCTTATCTATCAATGACATTCATATGGTTCCCATTGCTAAAGTGCTGGAACACTTCACTATCACTCAAGCCTATTTATCCTCACAATGGCCCTGGGCAGTAGGGAAGTGCTATTATCACTATTTTGCAGAGAAGGAGCTGAGACACACAAGGCCAAGGTCACCAAGAAAGTGTGCAAATTGAACACTGGTTTACGAAGCCCCTGGATAATGCCGTGACCATGGACTCTCCTCGTTCTCTCCTCTATACACCTATGCCAGACCCAGAGTACCCATATAATATGGGAAAGCCGGCCCTACCAAGAGTGAAGCAGGTGAGATAAACAGGTGGAGACCAGGACACAGGCAGTACCAGCCGGGGGAAGGCAAGGGTCTCAGTATTGAAACACAAGGCTGAGCAAACAGGAAGTCTCTAGGCTTTCATCGTTGACACTGAGGCCTGTTTTATGCACATAAAGACTTAAACTCTCTCACTTGATCTGCAGACAGGGCCCATCACTTCTGTACCCTTAGGAAATTTGCCTGGCCAGAGAACAAGCAGGAAAACAGAAAGACAAGACACACACAGACAACACAGGAGAACACTTTAGACTGAAACAGAAAGGGATGAGCAAGGAAGAGAGCAAGAAATCAGAAAGAGATGGGCCAGCCCTTTATTTGTACAGTGGGTGAATTCCCCAATGCATTAATATGCATCAGGGAGATATCTGATAAACTTCTGACCAGCCACTCACTTCCTCATTTGCTACTATCTCTCCCTTTCCCACACCCCACCCTTGTGTTTTTGGTCTTGGCAGAGTGCAGCCACCTCCAAGGTGTCCACTGCACCCAGCCATGTCAGTTCACAGGGGTCCGCAGCACCTAGTCGCATCAGTTCACAGGGGTCCGCAGCACTGAGCCCTGTCAGTTCACGTGGGTTGCACGCAAGGTGATCACAGCTCCCTGTGGAGGGTAGGATGGGACACAGCAAACCCAGTTTCTTGTTTCCCAGCCCCGGCCCTTTTGATGGGAATTAGAGCAGGGCATGAAATGGTCTTCCTGTTATGGAAAAACCTTCCTAATTAAATATTCCTACTGCACATTAGAGCAAAACCAAGACCTTGCAGTGTTTTCATCTAAGTCACTGGACATTCATTGAAGCAGTCGCTTGAACCATCATTTCCCACATTTCCAGTGGGAATGACTAGGCTATATAGAAAGTCTGTCTCACACTCAGTTACTCATACAACATAGAGCATACCTAGTAGGAAAGCTTGAGAGTCAGTAGCCCCAAAGTAACCAAAAGACTGGCAGTTAGGGCATCCATCTCAAACGCTGGAGACAGAGAATCAGCTGCCTGGTCCAACTCAGACAGATCGAGGGCTTGAACTAGGGTCTCTTGCACCTCAAGTAAGCACTGTTGCCACTGAGCTAATAGGTACTTATCCTCTCCCCTGAAATTCCTACCAAAACAGCTATGCAGACTCTCATGAAAGCTTCAGTGGAAAAAAGTGCTTTGTAGCTGCACAGCAGATGAAAAAGAAATTAGGCTGCCATTCACAGCTAGGCTTATCTCCTTCCTTTGCCAGCATAAT